CCTTGTTTGAAGATGTTTTAATTCAGTAATACAGTACATTTGCTGTCACGAAATCGATCTCTTATCCAGCAGCTGCAGTTACAATTACAGATTTTAGGGTTGCAAATTATCATAATTAAGCTTTGTAAACTAGAAACATGTGCTTACATAACATCTAGAATAGCAGGAGTAGCGTAGATGTTGGATGCTATTATCATTTCTTATATTTTAAAATGCTTTTAAGAGTCCAGGATTTCTTCCATTTCAAATAATTCACTTCTATTCTGTTTTGCCAGTAAATAAAAAACCATGAGTTTCAGTTTGTTTTGTCAATTAAATTAAACTCTGTTAATTTACTCTCATAACAACTTAAAAAAAAACAAGGTCTTACTAAAAAAAAATTATCTGAAGTTAAGAGTACATACCACTTGGAACAGAGCCAGGTATGCATTACCAATGTTGTCAAAATTGATTGGGGCATTAACCCACGTGTAGTTTAATTCCAAGCATTGAGAAATATTAGCAGTGACGTCTGGTGACAATCTCTGACCCTTTTGATTGACACATGTATAAAAATGTCCCCCAAATAGCTGGACCCCCATTATACCAAAAATCAACCAGAAGGCAACACAGACAAGAAGCACATTGAATATTGATGGAATAGCTGACATCAGAGCATTAACAACAATCTAAAATGAAGAAAAAAGGACAGTTAAATTTCATTTGTGACACAAACAGAATTACATTAAAAACATCCAAGCTCAAACAATAGAAAATGCACTATTAACTTTTCTATACAAAAAATAATTGCATATATACAAAAACAAAAAGTACTTACAATTTTATGTATTGAATATCTATAAACCATAAAAATGTTTCAAGTATATATATACACACTGTTTATTGTGTATTAAATTTCATATTCAGAGATGCTTATCAACAGTTTACCTTAATTCCTTGCCATCGAGAGATTGCCCGAAGAGGTCTAAGAGCTCGTAATACACGAACAACTCTTAACGCATACAGTCCACCTGTGCCAGTGGTCTGTAACAACAAACTCAATACTGAAACCTAGAAATTGAAAATAAAAGGTTAATTTGTGAAAAATCCTATTTGAAAAAAATATTATGTAAAACTATCAAAATTTGAGACATAAAATACACTAAAATTTAAAATTAATGCACATATTATATATATACATATATATAAAATTAAAAATAAGAATTTCACTTTTAAAAACCTTTTGCAAAACCTACTGTTACTATTTGAGTTCAACAGTACAAACCTAAGATAAAGAACTAATGCTACTGTACTAGTGAAAAATACTGACGTACATCAAGATCAGCAGTTAGTAACAGTATACAGAAATAAAAAATTCCTAAACACTGTATGATACTAAACCAATCAGGAAAAATCAATAGTAATGGGGTAAATGTGCCCCATTCATCTTTGACATTGCAGGATATGATTACATTAAGATGATTAAATATTTCTCCATAAGTGATTAACAGTACAGTAAAGAAAATGTTCTATAAGCTGACACAAACGTATGCTAAACAGTTATCAATAATAATCCCAAAGATGGTGAACTACTTAGACATTAGCCAGTCCTTACACATGCTAAACAGTTATCAATAATAATCCCAAAGATGGTGAACTACTTAGACATTAGCCAGTCCTTACATATGCTAAACAGTTATCAATAATAATCCCAAAGATGGTGAACTACTTAGACATTAGCCAGTCCTTACACATGCTAAACAGTTATCAATAATGGTATAGATGCTGATAAACTACATCAAAACATTAATCAGTACTTACACATACTATAGAAAAATCCAGAATAGTCCAGAGGCTGGTGAAATATACAATAAAACCATGGGCTCCCCACTGTAGCAGCATCTCAATAACAAAGAAAACAGTAAAAGCCAAGTTGAGTTTGTCTATAATTAACTGCCACATTGGTCGTTCTGCTAAGTAGACATCTTCAAAACACTTAAAAAATAAAACAAAAAAATGCTTTCTAAGTCTTTTTATTCCATTATTTTAACATCAATAAGATGGTATGATAAAGGTAACTTTCTTTTCAGTTAGAAGTATGCCATTTTATTATCAGTTACCATGTTATAAAGCAGAGGGAACCATACAATACATTTAAACTTAGACTAAAAGATGAAAATTAACATTAAAAAAAAATCAGTTATGAAATATTAAAATTCAGATACGAGACAACATTTTTGATTCATATATAGAAATCACAGAGCTAGGGTTAAACATGACACAAGAATGGAAAGTCACATAAAGCACTATTAAAATAGTTTGTCTCCTACAACAGTTTTAAATAATTACAAGAGGTCAGAATGAAGATAAAAGAATAACGCATCATTTTTATTGAGATACAAAATACTTCAAATAACGATTAATAAAAGTTAATAAAGTTACCTAAAATTTAATTAACAAATTAATTTTACTTCCAGCTACCAACTGTGTTTTTGTATTAAGTATAGTAGTTTTGGTATTATTTTATAGCACATTGTATTTATAGATTACTTTCAGTGCTCTTCTATAATTAGTACCTTTAGTTTTAATTCACAGCTTGTCCCTAATTTTATAGCTGGTATTATTCTTTTTGATATTTTACAGATAGTCTTTTGTTGTTACTTAAAACTAGTTTCCTTGTTGACGAGTAAACTGGAATGGACGATAACTGCCTGTTGTAAAAAAAACACAAGCATAGAGGCCGACATTTTGAAAAGTTTCCATCTGTCACCTTCAAGTCTTTGTTGATATTTTAGATCTAATACCTTTGTTACTGTTTTACAGACAGTACCTTTGTTGCTATTTTAGATCTAATATTTTTGTTACTGTTTTATGGACAGTAACTTTGTTGCTATTCTGTTTATAGATGTTGCATAACATCATAAGTTGTATGATGTACTGAAAAATCATTCTGTTTATAGATGTTGCATAACATCATATAAGTTGTATGATGTACTGAAAAATCATTGTTTACGATGATTTTATACTTGTGAACATGTTTCTGTTAATTTGTTTGTTTTGAATTTCACGTAAAGCTACTCAAGGGCTATCTGCACTAGCCATCCACAATTTTGAAGTGATAGACTAAATCTAAGGCAGCTTGTCAATACCATCCACTCTTTACCAACAAATAGTGGGAGTGTCACATTATAATGCATCTACAGCTGAAAGGATAAGCATGTTTGGGGATGGGATTAGATCCCATGACCACATGTTTCTGAAGGTGGGCTGTAGGATACTTTGGTAGCAAGGAAAATGATACTATTTTATCTGCAGTAATCCAATTAAAGTATGTATCCAGCAAAGAGTATCTACTCTAAACAGAATACCATTTATTATAAAAAAAAAAACCCATTTCAGTGCAGAGCTGGTGAGAGAGCTGTGGACACGTATAAGTGTAACCCTGTATAATTTGATAACAATTTTGAGGCCTTATTTCTGTAAAATATATTTAGTATTATGATAATATTTAGTGAATTTATGTTCATTTAAATGTATTGAACAGATTTAGTTCAATTTGTAGAAGCCAACCATACCCATTTTATAATACTTATTCCTTTCCTTCTTATAATTCAAAAAGAAAAAAAAATTGACTAGCAAGGTTACTGGAGAAAATTAAAAAGACAGGTACTTTACGTACCAACAGGAGACTGCTGGCAAAAATAACTAGAAACACCAGCCATTCAAATATCTTGTTGTCGACAACTCGCTGTATGCATCTCCTTACTCTGTGGATGAATATCCTGAAGTGAGTTGAATTAATAATATATACTATCACTCAAAATACACAAATAAAAACAAAAAGTATTAACACAAGAATATTAAAACAGTTTACAGTAAATGATGCGTTAGAAAACGAAACTGCCTTCATTGCGCGTTCAGCCGTCTTAACTAAACTAGTAAATAATTCATTAATTATTATAAAATTATTTTACATTACCATGTCATTTGTCAAAATATGGTTCATTTAGCTTCCCTTAAATTAAAGGACATGCAGTTCACATCTTTACAGATATAAATGTCACAAACACTTATCAACACTATAGTCTTGCATATTATAACCAGCCTTAATATTCTTAAAAAATCTATAAACAATGTTATCTATCCTTACTTTCTTTTTCTATACTTATATTCACCCTTATTTTAATTTGTGACCACTCTCATGAAACTTACCTCTTAACAACATCTCCCTCACAATGTCTGAGGTTTGATCCCTGAGCCTATTATTCATTAAAAGATTTAAGAGAAAAAGTTATACACAACTGGTGTAGATAAGCTACTCTAGTCTCTATTGATACGGTAATTACATATTTAAAAGTAAAATATATATATATATACAAATATATGTGATGAATATGGGAACTGTTTGTCTGTTCACCTGAACAGCATCTTATTCACTCCATTGTCTAACTGGCCAGTCAGACTCCTATGGTTTGGGCATAGCCATCTTTAATTTTGAACTGCTGATCATATGGAAATGAACCAGTTGACAGTACATACTGCCTGAAATCACTACTCTTAACCAAACATTGTCACTCTTTAAAATGTACCCAGAGCTGAAAGTACAAAACACCACATCTCCAAATCGTACCACTCTGATACTCAGTTCAAGATGCTAACCACTAGGCCGTGCTCAGACCTAGAATATAGCAGTATATACGATGCAAATAATTCATTAAAAGAAAGCCGTACATGCCATTTTTAGTGAAAGTTACCTAGTTGTGAATGCATACTTAAAAACTCATTTATACATTATTTCATTTAAGGTAGCTAGTATAAAAAATTCTTTCAAAATGAGCTTACTGTTCTAAAAGATCTAAACAAATTCAATGTAAGACTAGAGGGAAGGCAGCTAGTCATCACCACCCACCGCCAACTCTTGGGCTACTCTTTTAACAACAAATAGTGGGATTGACCATCACATTATAACGCCCCCACGGCTGAAAGGGGCGAGCATGTTTGGTGGGACGGGGATTCGATCCCGCTACCCTCAGATTGCGAGTCGAGCGCCCTAACCACCTGGCCATGCCGGGCCGGGTAGTTGTCTGGGTTAAGATGTTTGCATTATTTCTGTATTTTACTATTTTAAATTATCCTTGAAAATTCAGTGAGTGAGTAAAAAACATAAACAGAGTTGGATATGTTATTCCTCTATTTTTATTATCTCAAATACTGATAATAAATAAATGAGAAATAGTTTTTTTTCCTAGACTGAGTTCGAGGCATGAACTTTTTACTATTTCCAGTTATTCTTTTTAAATTGGTGGGTAGGAAATCATTTCCATATTTCAAGTTAATTATCTTCCCAGATTGAGTTAGACAAATCATTCATAGCTATCTTTTATCATTTGAAACTAATGTTCTTAAACCAGCAAGCAAGAAATCCTTTTCATTCTCACTATAAAAGAAAACAACTACTAATGATATGTTTAGTTGACTTTATATAAAATAAGCTATTACTACTGTCTCATCTCTCTGTTCCTGAGGTGGAGGTGACGATCTTACAGCAGGTGGAACAAACAATGATTCCTCTTCTGGACTCGTTGTCCCCTGTTCCAATTCTGTTGATTACAGATGTTAAATTTTAAATCTTTTCAAATTGCCTTGTCTTAATAGAAATACTTATAAACCTTTTCAATAGTGTTTTATCTTTGACATCTAGCTATTCCTATAACAAATGACACATGTACAGCATACCACAATATAACAGTGACACAACTTATTCCACAAGCCTTCATCTAACATGAAAGTGCAACAAAAGAGAATGTTTATTTTGGTTAATCAAGTTATTAAAATTATTTCACTGACAGGTCATACGACTCACCCATTTTCCAACAGGATATAGTACATTTTTAGTGACAACGTGGTTTAAGATAAGAGAAATGCACCAACAGACACAACAATCCTCATCACTTTCATTGGTGTCATGGATCTCAAACAATATTTCAAATAATGCAGCTCTGAATACATACAAAAACAAAAGTTAACATTTTCCTAAACTGAAAGTGTATTTCCAATAGACACTTACTTCGTCTCACAAAATAGCTTTTCTTGATTAGTACTGCCCTCTGTTGGCATAAATATTTAACACTCACCACAAGCCTTCCACCTTCCGCTTCTGCATATCCACATGTAAATGATTATTCAGCAGCTCTTCACCAATAAGAGCACAACCCAACCCATCGTAACCAGCATCCTCACCACATTTGCACTCGTCAATCACTTCGAGATTAGTCAGAAGACCTACAACACATATCACCATAATTGGGGAAGCTGGGTGGGAAATGTGAAAGGAGGTAAGTATCTATTGGAAATACGCTTTCAGTTTAGGCAAATGTTAACTTCCTATATGATATCTTACCTCTTCTCACAAAAGCTAGAATTCCACACTGAACTGGTGGAGGTCCAGTGATAAAATGTTCTCCTTCAGGAAGCACCCAAAGAGAGACCATGAGGTATGGAACAAAAAAAGAAATTATCACACCTCAGTGGGATTCTGCACCACATCTGATCTAAGTATACTCTTCACTATTTTATGATGGTGTCATAAGAAGTGGAAAAACATGAAGGAATCCCATAATACATACTCCCAATTACTGGGACTGTCGGGTGGCTAGGGTGCGACAGACCATAATGGTAATTCAATTTCATCCAACACCATGTGGTATTGGGAACTGTACATTTGTTGCGAAATAGACAGAAGATCACCTACTTCTTTACCTAGAAACAGGAATTAATAGGGAAGACAAGCTTCTGTATCAAAATCCATGACATCTTGCATGCATTTCCAACCCAACCAACACCTGATCCACCACGAATCGATGTCCAGCAGATGGTAGGAAGGAGGAAAGCCCTCGTGGGATGATATCTGGCAGCATTGGGTATGGTTCTTTCAGTCCGAGGTAGAAGGAGGATACCTGGCCGTACATAAGTGGAAATATATGTGCTGTGTCCAGCTATAACCAATACCAAATCTGTTGGGAATGGACATCCAGCAGATGGTAGGGAGAGGGACTGCAAACTTGGGTGAATCTCTGGTCCAAAACCTGGCAGCATTGGGTATGGTTCTTCCAGTCCGAGGTAGAAGGAGGATACCTGGCCGTACATAAGTGGAAATATATGTGCTGTGTCCAGCTATAACCAATACCAAATCTGCTGGGAATGGACATCCAGCAGATGGTAGGGAGAGGGACTGCAAACTTGGGTGAATCTCTGGTCCAAAACCTGGCAGCATTGGGCATTTTTCATCCAGTCAGCAGATACTCAACTAAGTGGTATTATGCATCACTCAGTAGGAGAGGCCTCCATGGTCCACCACTCCAGTGGCTAGGAAATGGTAAGTGGCAAGGACTCCCATACTCCATTAGAAGAAATGAGGGAAAAATGCATTGACGAGTCTGGAGGACCGCATTACCAGAGGCAGTGCAACAGGTGACCATGATGCCCTATTTTGAAAAACAGAGCTACCACACTGACATAATCAATCAACCAACACCCAGCAGCATCTGGAAATGTTCGTTAGGTTTGCAGTAAGAAGAGTTTCAATGCCAAGGAGCATCAAAGATGGGCAGCAATCTCTGTCTGATTTACTCATGTGTGTCCATGAGTGAACGGTATGGGATGAACATATCTATGAAGCAAAAGACCACTCTAGAGAACTACTAGTGGCCCTACGGAACACCTCATCTCTACAGCGTGCATAACCTAATCCTGCAACGTAATAGATGACAACTGAATGGTGGCATTTGGAATTGTACATCAGGTTCGTGGTAGGAAGAGCTGCAACATAAATGACATCGAGCATGGTCACACGATGAACAGTGCAGATTAAAAAAAAAGTATTATTGGTTAGGCACCACTCGCCACACAGTGGGATCCACAATACACTAGCAAAAAGGCCCCTATAAATATAAAAATAAGAAAAAAATATAGTAAAGAAAAACTAAGTCTGCAATATAAAGGAAAACATCGATAAATTTGTGAGCAAAAACAAACACATCTGTACAGTACTACTGCCAATCGAGAAGTGATTAACAAGTGCAAGTGTGGAAAGGGCTCTGGTTACAATAGGGGTTGTGTCACGCTCCTATTGGTAGAGAGCTGCTGCATGATCATTTACATGTGGACATGCAGAAGCGAGAGGTGACAGGCTAGTGGTGAGTGTTGAAAATTTGCGCCAATAGAGGGCAGTACTAATCGAGAGAAGCTATTTTGTAAGAGGAGGTAAGATATCTTATCAGAAAAAACTCTTCTGAAAAAAATATTATTAATTAGTTAGGATAAAATGCAAGACTAAGCTATATAATTGATATTCTCTAGCATCAATTTAAATATTATTAATCATGAGGTGCAGTACTCAGCTGGAAATAGTATGGCTTTCATTATCTAAAGTACACTCAGTGACAGTGCCAGGCATAAGCAGGCAAGAAATTGCTAAGGGCAGTTCAAGGGTCCCATAATTCCCAGGAATTTTTTCCATCAAGTTAATGACTTTTGCCTGTTTCAGTGTTATACTCATTTACAAAATAAAAGTATTTCCAAAAACACACCACCCAGTAATGGATGGACATTTAAAAATTGCAGCAGCAAGATATTTCCCAGTCAGGTACTGGTATGATGCACGTGCTTTTTGGTTGCTAAATACAGTACAATGCAGTGTGCATGATTTTAGAAAGA